TGCTCTTCGCAAAGGTACTCGTTCATGTGTTACTCATCATCCTATTTCTCATTTTATTTCATATAATGCCTTAGTCTCCTATCTTCTCCTGTTTTACTTCTCAATTATCTGCTATATCTATTCCTAAGCATTTACATGATGCATTATCTGATTCAGGTTAGAGGAAATCTATAAAGGAGGAGATGAATGTTTTACATCATAATGGGATTTGGGATCTCATTCTTTTACCCCCTGAAAAATGAACTGTTGGCTGTCGTTGGGTGTATACTGTTAAATTTTGTCTAGATGGTTATGTGGAGCGTCTCAAAGCCCGACTTGTTGCAAAAGGCTTTACTCAGACTTATGGTGTTGATTATATAAGGAGACTTTTTTTTTTGTTGCCAAAATTTTCTCTGTTCGTATCTTGATTTTTTGGTTGCTAATCTTGATTGACCCTTGTTTCAGTTAGACATCAAGAATGTCTTCCTACATGGTGACTTGGGTGAAGAGGTATACATGGAGCAGCCACTTGGATTTACTGTTCAGGTGGAGTATGGTAAGGTATGCCGATTAAAAAAATCTTTGTATGGTTTGAAGCAGTCACCAAGGGCATGGTTTGGTAAGTTTTCAGATGTAATTTTAGAGTATGGTTTTCTTCAATGTCAAACAGATCATTCTGTGTTTCATAGACAAACAGATGCTTGATGTGTCCTATTGGTGGTCTATGTAGATGATATTGTGATTACTGAAAATTTTTCTAAGGGAATTGTCAAGTTAAAAATATTCTTGTAGGATCGATGTCATACTAAGAATTAGGAAAAACTCAAGTATTTTTTGGATATTGAGGTAGCTCGATCTAGACAGGGTATTTGTTTATCCTAGAGGAAATACGTGCTTGACATGCTTGAGGAAGCATGTTTGCTGGGTGGTAGACCGATTGATATTCTTATGAATCAGAATTAGAAATTATTGATGGATGATGATGCACATTGTTTGAGAATCTGGGTCGGTATCTTAGATTGGTTGGGAAGCTTAATTATCTCACTATTACTCGATCGGATATTTCCTATGCAGTCAGTATAGTAAGTCGGTTCATAGGATGTCCTAGAGTACCACATTGGGAGGCAGTTACTCGTATTCTGCGATATCTTAAATGAGCACCTGGACTTAGATTATTATATCAAGCTAATGAACATCTTAGAGTGGAAGGTTTCTCAGATGCTAATTGGGCTGATTCTCCTTCTGACCGGAGATCAACCACTGGTTATTGTACTTTCTTAGGAGGTAATGTTGTCTCGTAGAAAAGTAAGAAACAACCCGTTGTAGTAAGATCTAGTGCCGAGGCTGAGTATAGGGCAATGACACATACGACGAGTGAGTTGACTTGACTACTACACTTCCTCCAAAAAATTAGGTTTCTAGTTCAACTTCCTTTACAGTTGTTCTGTGACAACCAGACAGCTATCCATATTGTTGTCAATCCTGTGTTCTATGAGAGAACCAAGCATATTGAGGTTGATTACCACTTTATTCAACACAAGATAGTATCTGGGGAAATTACAACTCCATTTGTGAAATCTGAAGATCAGCTTGCAGATATGTTTTCCAAAGCATTGAGTTGTACACGTCTTACAACTATTTGTTCCAATCTTGAATTATATGATATATATAGTCTAACTTGAGGGAGAGTGTTAAGAATAGTAGGATAGTATGTGTAAATTGTTAATTGTAAGAGGGTGTATGTGTAATTCTCATTATTATAAGTTAATTATAAATACAAGTGATGTATGAGAGTTAGATTATGTTTTTAACCTCTCTCTATTTCTCTCTAATATTATGTTAATCTTCTACACTTAACAAAAAATAAGTTTAAATAATATTTTTATTTAATCTCTAGGACTTGAGTGGTGGGTCCTAATTCACTTTGGGGCCATATGGTGATGGTGAGTGACTTTGGATGTCCTCCAAATTCCACTTTACGGCTGTCAATGGTGTTATAAATGTCATGTGCATGTATCTTGTACTATAAGGTTTTTATAGTTTAATATAACTAAAAATAGCCCATAGGTAATGCTTGCAAGCAATTCAAATTAGAATGTAAATTTTAAATTTAGTTATATGTCAACGCTCAAAGATCAACGTTTTTGGACGAGAAAAAAAATTGAAAATTTTTTTATATTGTTGAATTAAAATAAATGAAGATTGAATCAATTTTGATCATTATTATGTTTTCTTAAGTTAAAAATTTAATTTTTTATTATAAAATTAGATAAATATCTCTAGGTTTACTCGAAACTAGACAGATGACAACACAGCAACCGTCAATGGGGCCCAAACAAGTCCGGGTAAGTGCAAGTTAGTATCTAACACCTCAGGCTATAAAGTCCAAGTGATTGGGGGCCCCACAATAATAATGTTCCCTCATTCCTTCGCCCACTAGTAACATTTAAATTTACAGTACCATTAACTATCAAACAGGGAGTAGTAGAAACCATATACAAAACACATACAACCGTATCTTCGAAGTCCTAATTAAGGCCAATTTTGGCTTCATTTGGCCCCTCTGATTTGTGAAGTGCCCTTTGATGTTGAGTAGTGATAAGATTTCTTATTTTTACTTCACAAAAATATAAGTGATAATGGGACCCACACTTTTGGACATGCTCTGGTGGAACCCACCCCCAACCAATCTCACCATTCCAAACCATTCGAAGGGTTCATCAACAATTATTTTGTCAAAGCGGTAATAAAAATGAATTATAAATTCAGATGTCTTAAATTTAAATTTTAATAATTTTTTAAGATCATGACATTAATGATTTATTTTTCATGAATATCCTAGTTTTAATGTGGATGGTTTACCTTTGACCAGACTAAAAAAAAAATTAATTAAGATATACGTAAATTGATCCGAACATTCGTCCCCGTTGAATTTAAAAAAAAAAATAATTTGCTTTTCTACTCCACACACACACAATTCGTTATTATTTTTAACACCAATAGATATTCTTCTATGAGAATGAAAACATGATTCTTTCTTTGCTTCCTCTCTATTAACAAAATTTGGGAAAAGAGAGAATAGAACTACTATGAAAAAGGTGGGATTAATAATTACTTAATTTTGGTTTATAAATTTAAAGCACAATTTTACTGAATTGTTATACGTGTGTTTTACTATTTTTATACCAAGAAATTATTTCAATCCCACGTTATTGAACTAGTGGTTACAATTCAGATTTCAAAAATTAATGTTTTTTGGGAAATAAAAATAATTTTAATTACGTATTACATCTTTTTTTTTATCTTAACATTATTACATCCTAACGATCAATTGTGTTGGGCTAATTCATGTTCACTGTCATTAGTCTTCCCACAATCCAAACTTTTTCATAATTTACTTACCGGAATTTTTTTTTTCACAATTTTACCGGTCACAGTCATCCACGTGGCATCGAGAACTACTGGAGTGGAATGGACCCACAACACATGGCCACATACACGTGTTCGACTTTGAATGGACAAGTAGGAAGAAATCTTGGGTTTTGACCCACGTGGAGCATCGGACCCACTTATGGACGGAGTCAAACATGATAGGTTTAGTGGGTCCATCTACAAGAAAGCTTGAAAATCTGAGGTGGATGAAGCATCGATCGTGTAATTGCGCTTTTGGTGTATTGTGCAGCGTGGAGTTGATTTTTTTTGGGTATAAAATAAATATTTAAAAAAGAAATAAAAAAATTATTAGAATTATTTGAAGGGTATTTGAAAATGTCTATTTTTTTTGAAAGCCTTAGTGTTTTCGATTTTTTTTTAAAAACTGCTCAAAAAACCCAAATCTAAATGGACCAAGTTTCTTTTCCCCTCAAACTAAAAAAGACTAAAAGTCTGTTTGTTTTATATTTCAAAAAATAGTATCCGAAAATAGTTTTTGAAAATAATTTTAAGAAAGTGTTTTTAAAAATTTTTAGATTACAAAACATGTTTAATTATATATTTTTGAAAATAATTTTAAATAACAAAAAATTGTAAAATTTGTTTAGGCAATAATCCACAAAACCCACAATTGTCATCTCTATTTTTCTTTCCTCTCTCTTTGTCTTCACAAAACCCCCACACACACGCGCGCATACATAAGCACATACACACACAGACACATACACACACATACGCTTACACACACAAATCCAAACCCAAATTTAGATCTACACAGATTTAAACTTTAATTGTTGCAAGAGAGAGAGGAGATGGAGACGTTGGAGAAGAAGACGCTGGAGAGAGAGGAAGAAAAAAAAATATGGAAGGAAGCCTTTTGTTGTTAAGGGGACTCGAAGGACATACCTCATTAAAGACTCAAAACTGTCTCCATGTTTCCAACATTTTCAAAGAAAACTCTGAAAATAAGTGTAATTTGTTTTTCTATTTTTTGCCCCAATTCTCTTTTTTTTTTCAAAAATTTGAGAAAATAAAAATACTGAACAAATCTGTTTTGTGTGTTTTTAAAATTTTACGAACAAAAAACAATTTTGTAGACAAAATCAAACACGCCTCGAGTTTTCAGCCAACCTTAAAAAGGCTAATTGTCTTTCCTTTGAGTAACAACTTGTTACCATAATCTGACTTACAATACATCATGTTATATTAATAAGTTGGTATCATATTTAATTGTATCATGTTAAAAATCGATTTCTTAACAATCGGATTATCTTTCGACAGTCACCTCATTACTTTTTTTTTTTGATTTTACCGTTTCGTGCTCGTCTTCTACTCTCACAATATGTTTGTCCGGATTAGACCCTTCATGAAATGCAGACGAAATAAACTATAACTTCACACGAAATGCAAGTGGGACTCGTGCAATCAAATGTTATTATATATAGGAGTCCAACCTTCCAAGCTTAGTCTATCCTTACAGCTTGTTCTAATGACGTTATAGTTGTATACTTTGCATGTATAAATAGTTATACTGACTTGATTTGCCTGAAAATAAAGTTTTCGGCCACCTGAGATTGTGGGTATGATATATGGGGAAGGGTAGTAGACTGACAACAAGTCCTAGTGAACGATACTTGGGTGGCTGTTATGGCTACAGTGAAGGTCAAGGGACGGTCATCGGCTTTCCAGAACTCGCCAAAGACGATGTGTGGTCAATGGTTGATGGCATGGTCAACGGCGGTGATCAAACAATGAATGGCTCGCATGATGACTGGGCTTCACGCGCCACCCCTGAGAGTAATGGAAGTGTTAACAGTATCGGGAGCCACCGGAGAAGTTATCGGGACGACCATCGCAACGTTAGAGGCATGTCATTGGCTTTTGATGATTCGGACAACACGACGTCGTCTAGAATTTTGCACCAGTTCCGTGGACAGGACAGCGTGGAGATGTCTCCACGTGGATGCCACATGGCCACCTCAGCTCCAGTGAACGTGCCAGATTGGACAAAGATTTACCGAGTTGACTTGGTCGAGTCATTGCATGACTCAAATGATTGTATCGATGATGGTGATATGAAAATGGTTCCGCCACACGAGTACCTAGCACGTGAGTATGCACACAACCGGAAAATTAGTGGCAAACTCAATTTTTGAAGGTGTGGGTCGAACGCTTAAAGGCCGCAATATGAGTCGAGTTCGGGATGGAGTTTGGAGCCAAACTGGGTTCGATGGCTAGACCTTATGGAAACTTTATTTGATGCTCTCCAATTAGAGTCATTGGTGGGTTTGGATGATTAAACATTGTTACCTATCTAAAAATGAACATATATATGTTAATGTTGGAATTGTAATTTTTTCTTGGGCAATGACTCGGTTGAGTGAACTCAGTCAACGAGTCCACTCGATAGCGATTGAGCCCAAATATAATTGTGATTTAGCTTTCTATTATTCAAGCTTCTTAATATGTAAATATCCTTTCCCCTTTCTTTGAGTAGGACTTAAGACAAATAGATTCTGTCTATTATTATGGTATTCGCCATGCAATAAATATAGTTTCAAAAGTATTTGGTTTGTGCCATGAGGGTGTGTGAGATTGAATTTGAATTCTCTGTTGTATTTAGTATTTTTCCAAAGATCGTAGTTTTATGAGATTGGACTCTTGACTTTGGTTAATACAGAAACAACAAAGTTTTAGAACATCTGTAATCATGACTCAAATTTAAACTCAATTTGAGTAAAATATTTGATTTGGTATAGAATTTTCCAATGGATAAACTCAGATTTATACTCAAATAGTTTAAAATTTTCTTTATTATCTCAAAACTCATTTTTTGTATCATTTAAATCATGAAATTTAATAAAATAAATGAAACTTTTATATGTCTCCATAAATGGGTAAATAAAAAAAAATTATATATGGATACAACACTACTTGAGAATAAAAATAAACAAAAAGAAAAATAGAAAATCACCTCAGAATTTTCAGATTTTTCTAATCCATTATTTTCTTTTGTCATCCAGATAAAAAAAAGATATTTACTTTGATCAGATTTTTGTCTGAAGAACACAAAAAATAGATCATTTTCAACAAAAATGATGATTGAAAAAATAAAAATGACAAATTTTTTAAATTTGTAGATAGTGAAAACTTGAAATTTCAAGAAGAATCGAAGGATTACAATTGCACTACTGACAATATTTAACTCGAAAATATCAAAGAAAATTTTGATGGGTAGGTTTAGAGTTTATATAGTATGAAAGATGAACGAGATTAAGATTTTGAACAATACAAGAAATCAAGAAAATAGAAGATGAAAACGAAGAAGTTTACCTACATATTTTAAAAAGATATATGAAAATTTCGGTGGCGATCGACAACGGAAACAACGTTGCCGACAGGATTAGATATGCTCTTAGATTACTTATGAGTTAAGAAAAAGAAAAACAGAAGCCCTTAATCATGTAGTTCCCGTTTGATAACGTTTATGTTTTATGTTTTTTGTTTTTATTTTGATATTTAGAGAAAATAAGAAAAAAAAACTCGTTTGATAACTATTTTTTTTTTCTGTTATTGTTTTGTAAACGAGGGACGATTTTAAAAAACGTGAAAAAGACGTTTTTTCGTTTTTTGATTCTGTTTTTCGTTTTTTAGAAAATCAAAAATCGTAAACGTTATCAAATGAGCCCGTAATAAATCAAATGTCAAATCATTAATATGAAGAGCATGTCTGTGGAAGTCTGGGGCTACTATGTAATGTGCATATCTGAAACCACTACAAAAAGACAAAAGAGTCCGTGCCATTGGGTATAAAACGTAGGGGACCCCATTCTCCTGTATCTTAGCTTACCTTTTTTAACAGAGTGACTACCCTCAACAGCACTAAAAAGTGCGCATCAAAATCTATATTAAATTATTTGTAATTGTCGAATCAGTGAGTCTTATCACAAATTCAACCGCTACAAATAATTTGATACACATAATTTTATCCAAATTGTTATCTATGGCCCACTTGTGATCTAAATATTATGGAGACTTGCTATGGAGATCTAATTTAAAATTTTAATACATTGTGGTCATTAGATTTACAATGATTCTCGATATTGAATGAAGTTCAATATCAATTCAAGTGTCATAATGTAGTATTATTTGGGTCCATGCTAGACTACATTTCGACACAATCGTAAGGATTGAATAAGTTGGTTATGGTGTTTTTTGTCAAAGTTTCAGTAAACAAAATGTCTAAAGATTCTCTCTTTCCCACTTTTTATTGGGATTACTCATCCACTTGGGTTTTTCATGGGTGCTAATCTAGATAGAGTGTTCAATTGTGTATCCTTTGAAAAAAAATAATATAGTTCATGAAACTTTTATTATTAGAAGTTTAAAGATGATTNATATTTACTTTGATCAGATTTTTGTCTGAAGAACACAAAAAATAGATCATTTTCAACAAAAATGATGATTGAAAAAATAAAAATGACAAATTTTTTAAATTTGTAGATAGTGAAAACTTGAAATTTCAAGAAGAATCGAAGGATTACAATTGCACTACTGACAATATTTAACTCGAAAATATCAAAGAAAATTTTGATGGGTAGGTTTAGAGTTTATATAGTATGAAAGATGAACGAGATTAAGATTTTGAACAATACAAGAAATCAAGAAAATAGAAGATGAAAACGAAGAAGTTTACCTACATATTTTAAAAAGATATATGAAAATTTCGGTGGCGATCGACAACGGAAACAACGTTGCCGACAGGATTAGATATGCTCTTAGATTACTTATGAGTTAAGAAAAAGAAAAACAGAAGCCCTTAATCATGTAGTTCCCGTTTGATAACGTTTATGTTTTATGTTTTTTGTTTTTATTTTGATATTTAGAGAAAATAAGAAAAAAAAACTCGTTTGATAACTATTTTTTTTTTCTGTTATTGTTTTGTAAACGAGGGACGATTTTAAAAAACGTGAAAAAGACGTTTTTTCGTTTTTTGATTCTGTTTTTCGTTTTTTAGAAAATCAAAAATCGTAAACGTTATCAAATGAGCCCGTAATAAATCAAATGTCAAATCATTAATATGAAGAGCATGTCTGTGGAAGTCTGGGGCTACTATGTAATGTGCATATCTGAAACCACTACAAAAAGACAAAAGAGTCCGTGCCATTGGGTATAAAACGTAGGGGACCCCATTCTCCTGTATCTTAGCTTACCTTTTTTAACAGAGTGACTACCCTCAACAGCACTAAAAAGTGCGCATCAAAATCTATATTAAATTATTTGTAATTGTCGAATCAGTGAGTCTTATCACAAATTCAACCGCTACAAATAATTTGATACACATAATTTTATCCAAACTGTTATCTATGGCCCACTTGTGATCTAAATATTATGGAGACTTGCTATGGAGATCTAATTTAAAATTTTAATACATTGTGGTCATTAGATTTACAATGATTCTCGATATTGAATGAAGTTCAATATCAATTCAAGTGTCATAATGTAGTATTATTTGGGTCCATGCTAGACTACATTTCGACACAATCGTAAGGATTGAATAAGTTGGTTATGGTGTTTTTTGTCAAAGTTTCACTAAACAAAATGTCTAAAGATTCTCTCTTTCCCACTTTTTATTGGGATTACTCATCCACTTGGGTTTTTCATGGGTGCTAATCTAGATAGAGTGTTCAATTGTGTATCCTTTGAAAAAAAATAATATAGTTCATGAAACTTTTATTATTAGAAGTTTAAAGATGATTAGATGTACGTAAATTTATCTTGAATGTAAAACAATTGTAGTTAGTGAAAAACTTGAATTTTTAATGTATAAAAGAGTTACACATTCATAAGCTACATATTTCCATTTGATAATAATAACAATGAATATAGTATTGTGGCACAAATGGACACAAGAGACCAATCCAAAGATTATTCACAAATTCAGTGGTAGAAAAGGTTTTGATGAATCCAAGAGAGAGCAAAGGCAATATAGACAAATGAGTGTGGGGGGTCCAAGTCTAACCCTTTAAGATAGAAAAAAAAACAAAGTGCCTTTAATGGGAGATGATAGGTTGATGGTCATAACCTAAGACTAGTTTAACTGATAATAAAAATGAGTTATAAATTTAGATATTATGAATTCGAATTTTGATTATTTTTTAAAGCTAAATCATGATAGATTTATGTTTCATAAATATCTTAATTTTGGCATGAATATAGATGAATCAACATACATGTAAATTGACTCGAACACTATGGATGGTTAACCAAAAAAAACAAACCAAAAGATAGATGGGTGGTTATAGTGGCACAAGTTGCCAGATGTGTTGAAAGTTGGAACAATATATTAAAGGGTAGATATCTGCTGCCTCACCTTTTTCAAGAAAGGGACACAAGTGGTTTGATTGGACTCACTAGTGTTGAGTGTTTGTGGTTCAATTTCTTCTTGAAATTAATGTATAATAATAGACTTTAGTCTTTGGGATTTGAAAAAGGGCCCACAAAAAACTCATCACCATGATAGACATCAAAGTTATAAAACAAATATAATTCATATGTGAACTAGGATTACCTCTCCAATGCATTTTTTCTTTNATATTTACTTTGATCAGATTTTTGTCTGAAGAACACAAAAAATAGATCATTTTCAACAAAAATGATGATTGAAAAAATAAAAATGACAAATTTTTTAAATTTGTAGATAGTGAAAACTTGAAATTTCAAGAAGAATCGAAGGATTACAATTGCACTACTGACAATATTTAACTCGAAAATATCAAAGAAAATTTTGATGGGTAGGTTTAGAGTTTATATAGTATGAAAGATGAACGAGATTAAGATTTTGAACAATACAAGAAATCAAGAAAATAGAAGATGAAAACGAAGAAGTTTACCTACATATTTTAAAAAGATATATGAAAATTTCGGTGGCGATCGACAACGGAAACAACGTTGCCGACAGGATTAGATATGCTCTTAGATTACTTATGAGTTAAGAAAAAGAAAAACAGAAGCCCTTAATCATGTAGTTCCCGTTTGATAACGTTTATGTTTTATGTTTTTTGTTTTTATTTTGATATTTAGAGAAAATAAGAAAAAAAAACTCGTTTGATAACTATTTTTTTTTTCTGTTATTGTTTTGTAAACGAGGGACGATTTTAAAAAACGTGAAAAAGACGTTTTTTCGTTTTTTGATTCTGTTTTTCGTTTTTTAGAAAATCAAAAATCGTAAACGTTATCAAATGAGCCCGTAATAAATCAAATGTCAAATCATTAATATGAAGAGCATGTCTGTGGAAGTCTGGGGCTACTATGTAATGTGCATATCTGAAACCACTACAAAAAGACAAAAGAGTCCGTGCCATTGGGTATAAAACGTAGGGGACCCCATTCTCCTGTATCTTAGCTTACCTTTTTTANACATCAAAGTTATAAAACAAATATAATTCATATGTGAACTAGGATTACCTCTCCAATGCATTTTTTCTTTGATGGTGATTAAAAAATATGTGGTTGAAATATAAATGCATAGATTTATTATAATTAAAAGGTTAAAATATAAGTAGGTAAATTTTCTATTGTTAAAAGGTAAGTTATAGGATAAATCATTGAATATAAACGCTATGAACAATCGTTGTATTTTATGTAAGTAGGACACATTATATTTTACTATGTAGATAACACTATGGTACACTGGTTACAGTGACTAATATTAGAGCTAAGGGGAGTAGTTAGCGTAAATTTGAAATTCCTACAGCAAAAAAAATAAAAAAAAAAGGTTGACATTTGATTCATTCTTCTTGTAAAAAAATTTAGGATTAATTGCAAGTTGAACCCTGAAAGGTAGTTGAAATCTCAATTTGTACCCTCAAAGATCAAAAATTTCAATATGCACCCTCAAAGATAAAAAATTGTATCAATGTGCACCCCCAAAAATAAAAATCTCAATTTGCACCTTAAAAGATAGAAATTTGTATCAATATGCACCTAAAACTAGATTGATAAATTATACCTAAATTTCCTCATGCTTGTTACTTAATCATTTGGACCATTTTACATTTAGAATATTACTTCTACTTCTCATAACGTTTATGCACGTGTAACACGTAATCCCCTTTCATTGATATCTGTTAATATAACAGTTAAAAATATAATTTTATTCTAATAAAAAATTATAATGTCCAATGGTAAACTTGATTAAGAACTTTAGAGTATATTAAACCCACAAAATGAAGGATAATATGAAATTATAATTTTTTATTAGGATAATATCATATTTTTTAACGGTTATATTAATAGATATCAATGAAAATGGATTACATGTTACACGTGCAAAAATGTCATGAGATGTAAGAGTAATATTCTAAATGTAAAAAAGTCCAAATGATTAAGTGACAAGTATGAGAGGATCTAGGTAAAATTTATCAATTTAGTTTTAGGTGTACATTGATACAAATTTCTATCTTTGAAGGTGCAAATTGAGATTTTTATCTTTGGGGGTACACATTGATACAAATTTCTATCTTTAAGGGTACAAATTGAGATTCCCACTATCTTTCAAGGTACAACTTACAATTAACCCAAAAATTTATTTCCTCGGCATCTTAGTTTTTTCACAATTAAGAGTTTTTGGGCCATTAAGGCCCTGGATCTGGGCCAAAGTCAAATTATAAAGATTAATTGGACCTTGAATTAGTTTGAAGAGCATTTAAGTTGTCAAGCCCGTCTTAGAAATCATTTGTTCTGATCTAGCCCAAATTCCAGAAGTTGACTAGCACAAATAGGCAATATGATTACCATTCATATGAAAAGATTCTCTACTTAATTATTTTCGTCATACCCCGAAGAAACCTAAAAATAGACTAGATTTTTTTTTGTGAAATTTTTTTTTAATAATGATTAATACTCCACCAATAATAAAATAAATGAGAAAAAATCTTGTTCATTAAAATTTAAAATTTTACATATGTCACTCATCTAACACTGTATTAAAAAAAATTAAAGAGAAACAATAATGAAGGAGATCCGAATCCGATACACACAGAACACAACCACAAAAATGACTTTATTAATACTTCTATTTTTGACAAAATGGCACATGTCACGTGCGACGCGTGAGTGTTGTTGTAGTGTGTACAAAGAACGGAGATTGGAAACAGGCAAACAGCCACTGATGGCATTGAATGCGCTACTGGTGTTATACCTGAGTTCTGCACTCAGTTTCTCTCTCTCTCTCTCTCTCTCTCTCTGGTGTGGGGTCTTCACTTATATGGACAGCTATTGCTGATTTACTGCTTTTGTCCCCATAGTCTCAGCTGCCGCATTCATGGCGCCCCCCTTCCGTCTCTCTTTCTATCTCTCTCTTCACGACCCATTTCTTTTTCCTCGCATTCCCACCATTTTTTTTTCCTGAATTTAACGTCTGATTCTTGTTGACAAAACTCCATTCTTTTGTGTTCTTGCACTTTCCAATAATTTTTTTTCTGTGGGTATTTATCACTGCTTCTGGGAAAGTCAGTTACAGAGCAAGCATGAGAAAAGGGGTGGATCAAAATCTCAATCTTTATTTTCTGAATGTGATTCTGCTTCTTTTCTGTGAGTTTTTGCTTCTTATTTTCTTCGAAAATTAGTGGTTTTGCCGCTTTCATGCATGATCTGTGTTCCTTTTTGTTTTCACATAATATTGCTTTATTTTTGGAGAATACACACCCAACTGGGTTTTGATTGTTTTCAGTTGTGTTAGGGGTTTGGGGAAATGGGTTTTATTAGAACTTGAAAAATTAGAACTATGGTGTCAAGAGATTGAAGTTACTTTGGTTAGCTCTGGTTTTGGTTTTTTATTTGGTAAATTTGCTGAATTGAACTATGTAATTTGTTTTTTTTTGAACAAAAAACTATATAATTTGTTTAATTTCTTCTGTTTTGCATTGTTGGCTGTTTATGTTTTTTTAACGTCAGGGACTCAGGATTGCTGTTTGCTTGCTGATTTAAGGTTTCTTTGGCTAGCTTATGATTATTAGGATGATGTGGCATTGTTGTGGGTTTAGGCCTTGTCAGTGCTAGGGCTTCGGTTAGGGCTTGGAGAATTTATCTTAATGTGTATTTTCCATTTTTGTGTAATGTTTCATATGTTCAGTGTAATATTGTTCAAAAATTTGCCACCGCATACGTCAGGCAGTAGCTGGGGAATTCTGTCCAATGTAAGTATCTAAAATCCGTGAACATGGATTGTGGATATTTCGTTGGCCTGATTATTAGAAGGTATAGTTTATGGAAATTGTGCTGAGAGAAAGTTGAAAGAACCGGGAAAGAGGAGGAAAAAAAAATGATATTTGCACACAAAATATCATTTACCAATTAACAATCAAAGGCCTACTTTACCAAAAAAAAAAAAAAAAAAAAAAAGGGTGCCCACATCATATAAAAATATACAAAGCATCTTAAGAGGATAATGACCTCCCTAAACACCAAAAAACAGAGATCTCATGCAACCAAAGGCAATACATTCTTCGTATTCCACTGCCCCAGCAAATGTAAGACCCCTCAATATGAATGCATGAAAAGTAATCATTTAAGCCTTTTGTCATAACATGTATCTTTCACTTAAGATAGGAAAGAAAACATTGTGGACATCTGCAAGATGGTACATGGCAATAGACTCTGAATGTTAACAACATTCTCTACTTGGCATGCAAATAGTGGAATCAGAAGTCTATATTGTAACGTTTTCAAATTGAATGACACCATAGACAACATTTCCTTACATAAAACATTATTGAGTCTTTGGTTTTAGACAATGTTTGTTGGATTGCAAGTCAATTTTGTATGTGGTACGATTATGCTGTGAAATACTTTCTCAATACATGGTGTGATGGTGGTGGACTTAGCTAGTTGTTTTGATTGCTGTTTATTCGGAACTCATAGCCGAGAATTGCTTTCACTAATACATAGAAATTAATGATTACACATTTATGTCCACATAATGAATCGATATCTCTTTTATATTTGTGATAAGAGTTCCAAAGCAAACCGTTATGATTGTTGAATATTTGCATCACGAAAGGATTTCAATTCTCACCAGATCAANATATTTGTGATAAGAGTTCCAAAGCAAACCGTTATGATTGTTGAATATTTGCATCACAAAAGGATTTCAATTCTCACCAGATCAAAATACACGTNTTAATGATTACACATTTATGTCCACATAATGAATCGATATCTCTTTTATATTTGTGATAAGAGTTCCAAAGCAAACCGTTATGATTGTTGAATATTTGCATCACGAAAGGATTTCAATTCTCACCAGATCAATAAAATTCAAAGATCATCAAAGTATAGGAAAAAAATGCCTGAGGGATACAATTTGGGGTTATCTAGATGGTCAGTTGAGTTGAGGTTTGGGTTACAGTTTTGTGTTGGGATAATAGGGGATCTAGCTAGGTCTTGAGCCCATCTCGTTTGTGCGATCCAGATCATGGGATGCCAGGGTACCTTCGATCTTTGTATCCTTATGTTTGGATTGGCATTTATCTGGGCCTAGGAAGTTTGCATTAGCAATTTCCTTATCAATCCATCTTGCAGATTGGTGCACAAAATGTTTGAACACATTAAAACCTCGATAACAGTAAAAATGGGAAGTCCCTGGTTCAGCATGCCTGCTGGCTGCTTTGGCATCTTCTATTTTCTAACTAGTGGTTTCCTAGCCAAAAGTGTTTATATATTCAGTATTTAAAAAAATAAACCAATGTAGAGTATACACATCTCATATTTCCTCTGTGTGTGTGTTTGGTTGATTGGTTCTCCTGTTATGGTTTGGATTTTGGAACGTTGTTATGTTATACGTATATGGAACCTATGCATGCTTTTCTCCCTTTTCTTCTTTGTTTTCCTTGCCAAGGAACTTGATAGCCAATCGAGCCACTCTATCTTATGAACTCATGCTCCTTGAACAGGCTTCCATGAAGTCTGTTGCAGCTCGTTGGATAATCTGGCAAGTTCTATGAGAATGGATAAAAAGGCAGATGCTCTTTTGCCTGAGATATCCCCAGATGCTGCTCCTCAGCCCCTTCTTCCTCTTCTTGCACCTTCTCCATTGACACCATTTACAAATAGCACGGTCCCAAAATTATCAGGTTTGTTCATCTACTCTTTTACGCAGGACTCTTGGAGTTTTTTGGGTTGAAAAGTTAATCCTAGATTTTACTAGATTCTTTTTGATTGTTTTCTCTTTCTTATAGGACTCTGCATGTTAAACTTTGACGCTGTTGAAAGCATGATGAACATGACATCAACTGATTGTATGGCTGTTTTTGCGCCATTTCTAGCTAATGTAATATGCTGTCCACAGTTGGAAGCCACTCTAGTCATTCTCCTTGGTCAATCTAGCAAAGATACTAATATGCTTGCTTTGAATGGGACTCATGCAAAGCATTGCCTCTCAGATTTTGAGCAAATTCTGGTTGGTCAGGGTGCCAATAATAACCTCCAGCAGATATGTGCTATCCGCCCATCAAATCTTACTGAAGGTTCTTGTCCAGTCAAAAATGTAAATGAGTTTGAGAGCACTGTGGATTCTTCCCAGCTTCTGTCAGCATGTGGAAAAATTGATCTTGTGAATGAATGTTGTGAGCAAGTTTGTCAGAATGCTATATCAGAAGCTGCTAAAAAGCTTGCATTAAAAGCTTATGATCTGCTGAGTATGGATGGGTCTCATGCATTGTCTGACCACTCCACTCGGGTTAATGATTGCAAAAGTATCATACTTCGATGGTTGGCAAGTAAACTTGATCCGCCTCAATCAAAGGGAATCCTGAGAGGACTATCGAATTGCAATATAAATAAAGGTGAGGCTAGAGCAAATAGAACTTTTTTCAGAGTCTGTTGTAACATGTAGGAGTCTTCATTGATATTAAAGGGTTTCAGGGGATTTCCTAAATCAAATTGTCATTAGCGAAAAGGCCTCCAAATTTTGTGTGGATTTTGCTTTCGCGCTCTCTTTAGATGGTGGTGGGTCCAGGTTTCAGAATGAGCACGTAGCATTTGCTTCATTGCTGCTAACAGTTGCCACTAGGTTTTAGACAATTGTGGCAGCATATGCATGACACAAGTATATAATGATGCTTTTTATTTGCTAGCATTATATTTTATCTGTGTCAACTTTGATGTTGGGGATATGGGTGTCTGAATTCGCCTTCTGGTGTTTGTTACCTGAACGCATGAGCTCCATATAGTGCATCATAATTCTGATAGTCTGGCTGCCTTGTATGTAGTGGTAGCTGTTATTTTCTAAATTATCTGTTTGTTAAAAAAAGGATACAAACTAAGTATAGAAAACTCGTATATATAGCCAAACAATAGTATAAAAAGACTTGAACATCTCTCTGATCTAGGCAAGACATAAAAGTCATAATAAGGATAAAAAGACAAAACCCTAATAAACTAGAATATAACTCCAACACTCCTTCACCAGTTAGGCGCAAAAATGTCAACTAAGTTAAGCTTGACAATACAGTCCCAAAGAATGGATAGAATGACAGGTTTGGTGAAAACATTCGCAACATGATCATTGGTCCCCATAAACGATATAGTGAAAATACCATAGCTAATCTTCTCTCGAAGAAAGTGAACATCGATCTCTATATGTTTCGTGTTCTCGTATAGTACAGATTCAGAAACGAGCTGAATAGCTAATCGATTATCAAAATATAATGTGGATGAAGAAGTCATTGGAAATTTCAACTCACCAATTATCGATTGTAGTCAGATATTCTCACACGTGTCAAGTGTCAGTGCCCAATACTCTGCCTTTGCTGACGAGCGGGAGACAACTGCCTGTTTCTTGCTCTTCCAAGAGATAAGATGAGTCTTTCGAAAAGCAAAGAAGTTCGTAGTAGATTGACCATTACAAGCTATCCCATAATCTGAATTTGAATAACAGTCTAGAGAACTAGTTTGAGATCCTGATGCATAAAACTACCCAAGTGTAGAACAAGATTTGAGGTACCGAAGAATATGATAAATTGTATCAAGATGAGCCTGACATGGCTTGTGCATTAACTTGGTCGACAACAAATGAAATGTCTGGCCTAGTATTGGTTAAGTAGATAAGTCTACTTACTAATATCTGATAGACAGTTGAATCTCTCGACTCCTCACTTTCAGCAGTGAACTTCAGGTTTAGAATCATGAGTGATGATGTCGATTTGCACCTCAGCATCCCAATGTTTGAGAGAAGATCCAGAATATACCCTACTGCTACGGGCAATCTCAATCCCAAGAAAGTATTGCAGAAATTAAAGGTCCTTCACATCGAAGGTCTTCCCAAGGTTTACCTTGACTTGCGCAGTCTCAGAATTATCATCTCCAATAATAATAATATTATCTACATATATCAAGAAGATGACACACTGTCCAAAAATATTCTGTCGAATGAAGCAGGTATAATCAGAATGACATCTGGTGAACCTTAAATGTACAACTATACCAGTAAAGCAATAGAAACAGGCTCGTGGTGACTGCTTCAGTCTATAAAGAGACTTATGCAGTCGACACACTGTCTCAGCATACTCTCCCTCACCATGAAAGTCCGGTGGTGCATCTATATAAATAGTCTCGTCTAGGTCACCGTGAAAAAATGTATTTTTTACAACCAACTGATGAAGAAGTCAAGAGTACTCTACAACTCGAGAAATAATCAACTGAACGGTTGTCAATTTTGCCACGGGGGCAAAGGTAGCACCAAAATCACGACCTGGTATCTGAGGCAAGCCCTTTGTCATAAGCGTAGCCCTGTGAAGATCAATAGTACCATTTGCAAGAAATTGCAGGGTATAAACCCAGTGACAATCAACAGGCTTCACCCCTGAAGGTAAAGAGATAAAATCTCACGTATGATTATGTTGAAGAGCGTCCATCGATGTCTTAAATCATCATCCTCCACTAACAGTGTCTCATTGGGTAAAGTAATTGACTCACTGCCAGTAATCTCATCGGTACTAACAACATATGCATCTATATAAGCTCATCGATACTAACAACAGATGCATCAATAGACTCAATGAATTAAGAAATATTACTTACATCACCTGGGGACATCAACAAAGAGATGAGAGCGAGGACATCAACAAGGAGATGAGATGAACATAAACTTGCAAAGGATAAGAGACTGGTGACTCTGTACTGACAGGAACAAGTGGCTCTGGAGGAGGAGAGACTGATGACTCTATAGTTACAGTGACCAATGAGTCCAGTTACAGTGGTAACGGAAAATCAAAGGGAGTATCAATTGGAGGGGCAGACACAAGAATGAAAGAAAAATAAGGAATATGTTTAAGAATGGTAACATTTAGATTGTGATACATACGATGCCTGATAAGATCATAACACTGATACCCCTTAAACTGATGACAATAGTCCACAAAGGCACAATAAATCGCTTTATCATCAAGTTTATGGTGAGTAGGAGATCGATCATGAACAAAATGTGTGTAACCAAAAACATGAGGGGGACCGAAAAAAGTGTTTGCTCAAGGAATAAGACCTCTAAGGGAGTCCTATGTCGAAAAACACGACTCGGTGTACGATTGTACAGAGATGTAGAAGTCAAAATAACAAAATGNCCAACTGATGAAGAAGTCAAGAGTACTCTACAACTCGAGAAATAATCAACTGAACGGTTGTCAATTTTGCCACGGGGGCAAAGGTAGCACCAAAATCACGACCTGGTATCTGAGGCAAGCCCTTTGTCATAAGCGTAGCCCTGTGAAGATCAATAGTACCATTTGCAAGAAATTGCAGGGTATAAACCCAGTGACAATCAACAGGCTTCACCGCTGAAGGTAAAGAGATAAAATCTCACGTATGATTATGTTGAAGAGCGTCCATCGATGTCTTAAATCATCATCCTCCACTAACAGTGTCTCATTAGGTAAAGTAATTGACTCACTGCCAGTAATCTCGTCGGTACTAACAACATATGCATCTATATAAGCTCATCGATACTAACAACAGATGCATCAATAGACTCAATGAATTAAGAAATATTACTTACATCACCTGGGGACATCAACAAGGAGATGAGAGCGAGGACATCAACAAGGAGATGAGATGAATATAAACTTGCAAAGGATAAGAGACTGGTGACTCTGTGCTGACAGGAACAAGTGGCTCTGGAGGAGGACAGACTGATGACTCTATAGTTACAGTGGCCAATGAGTCCAATTACAGTGGTAACGGAAAATCAAACGGAGTATCAATTGGAGGGGCAGACACAAGAATGAAAGAAAAATAAGGAATATGCTTAAGAATGGTAACATTTAGATTGTGATACATACGATGCCTGATAAGATCATAACACTGATACCCCTTAAACTGATGACAATAGTCCACAAAGGCACAATAAATCGCTTTATCATCAAGTTTATGGTGAGTAGGAGATCGATCATGAACAAAATGTGTGTAACCAAAAACATGAGGGGGACCGAAAAAAGTGTTTGCTCAAGGAATAAGACCTCTAAGGGAGTCCTATGTCGAAGAACACGACTCGGTGTACGATTGTACAGAGATGTAGAAGTCAAAATAACAAAATACCAATAAGATTTTGGTATTCCCATACCTCTAAGCATACAACGTACCATTCTTATTAGACTCCTATGTTTTCGTTCAACAAATCTATTTTGTTCAAAAGTACATGGGCAAGTGAGCTGCTAAAGGATACCTTGCTAAATATACCTTGTTAAAGCATACCTTGAGTAGAAAGGTGAGACACTAAGACATCAGACTCATATTCTTTGGTATTATCTGAACGAAGAGCACAGACAATGACATTGAATTGTGTCTTATTCATCTAGAGAAATTCAGTGACGATAGAAAGTACATTGGACTTTCTATACAAAAGGTAAACTCAAGTACAAAGGATATGGTTATCTATAAATGTCAAATAGTATCGAGCACCTGACAGAACAGTATAAATGGGGAGGGTCCCTAAATATCAGAGTGGATTAGGTCAAATGACCTAGGTAACTGGTGCATACGAGGAATATAACTGGTCCTAACATATTTTGATAAAGAATATATAACACAGTCAAGTTTACCACCTACACAAGCATTACTCAAATTAGGAAATAATATGCATAAATATTTAAAATTCATATGCCCAAAATAGTTATGCCATAACTGAATAGTTTGTGACGAAAAATTATAACGACAAGTGCTAGGTAAAATACTAACATGCAAGTTAGGAACAGATAAAGATAAAACAAGAACATGTGATATAAGTGTAGGAACTTGTGAAACTAGAGGTGGATCGCCTAGATAATACAGTCCATCTTTCTTTCATGTCTCGTGATAATAATTCTCTAGATATTCAGGTCCTACAAATAACACGAATCAGATAAGAATATGAAAGTATAGTGAAAATCTTTGGCTAACTGATGTATAGATAATAGATTTATGACCAATTTTGGTGCATGAAAAATCGAACATAATGTAAAGCNCAACGTACCATTCTTATTAGACTCCTATGTTTTCGTTCAACAAATCTATTTTGTTCAAAAGTACATGGGCAAGTGAGCTGCTAAAGGATACCTTGCTAAATATACCTTGTTAAAGCATACCTTGAGTAGAAAGGTGAGACACTAAGACATCAGACTCATATTCTTTGGTATTATCTGAACGAAGAGCACAGACAATGACATTGAATTGTGTCTTATTCATCTAGAGAAATTCAGTGACGATAGAAAGTACATTGGACTTTCTATACAAAAGGTAAACTCAAGTACAAAGGATATGGTTATCTATAAATGTCAAATAGTATCGAGCACCTGACAGAACAGTATAAATGGGGAGGGTCCCTAAATATCAGAGTGGATTAGGTCAAATGACCTAGGTAACTGGTGCATACGAG